TTTCTATCTTACTCTGCCTTTTAAGTAGATGAAAAAACAAACATAAAGAAAACTGGATGGTGGGTATATGGTTATTTATGATCCCATATAACTAAACAATTGTATCTACTCATATATATGGAACATTAAGTAATAAAAACGGGAGAAGAGCAGAAAGGAGTCCAAAATCCAGAAAAGCAATCAGTAACAAACACATCTCTTGGAAGGCTATACCTGTGTTTATCTTTCCTGTTAACCACCGCACCCAACTGTCCCAAAGCCTGATCCAGGGCGGGTGAGGGGTAACTGCTGTTGAATGGATGAATAGTGCTCCCCCGTGCCCCAATCTTACCCCCGCCATCTCTGATTTGAAAGTGTACCTTGGATCCCAAGGTCTTGGATCTGCTGCTTTCTGTTTGCCAAAGTGTGATCTGTGGGCACAGGGCCTCCTGGGAACATTTTGTCTCTGTTCTAGTGGGGAACACAATACTGGCAAACAGCTTGATCGTTTAACATCGCTCTATTGCAGGCAACATGTCCTGACGTGACCTACTCCCAACGACATGAACCTACTGCAAGGATCTTTGGAGTTCATTTCCCTGGGTTGGTCCTGCCTCCCAAACACATTCCTTAAGGGCCGGTCTTTCCCGGTCACCGGAGAGGTTGCTGGAATGCTAATACTCTCTTCTCTTAGCCAAAGGGAGGGCTGTGTTCTTATCCCTCAAGAGGTTAACAAGAGAAACATCAGTGGCAGCAGCTGCTGGCTCTGCCTTGCCCTGGGCCGGCTTGCTAAGCAATGGTTCCCAGCTGGAGAGACTTGAGAGGACCTTGCTTGTCTGCTTGCCATAGCTGTTCACTCCCCAGGAAGGAGTGCAGAGGTGTGAGGCTGGCCTGTGTAGTCAGAGGTGGGCGACAGGATGAGCACGCCTGCCTGCTCATCTAATTGCGACAGGTGACTCGTGTGTGAGCTAAGCTGATGCCAGAGGAGCTGCAGTGCCCACAGGCGTTGAGATTGCCTGGGAAAATGTTATCCGGAAAGGTAGACCCGTGAGCATGGAACTGCCCTCCCTCCCATTCAGCTGTCCAAGGCTAAGGGCATAGCAAAGGTGATTGTCAAGGCCTGGACAGTGCCAGGATGGGGCTGGGAAGAGCCCCGGGCTTGCTAACTGTGCCCTTGGCCTCAGAGTGGCTTCTCCAGGGTTAGTCTGTACCAAAGGCCAACAGTCAAGATGTTAGCAATCAGGTGGCAGAGACACTTGCCGATCAGAACAAAGTGGGCTTGATTACTGGAGGTTTCAGCTGTGCCCCGGCTCACGCCCTTTGGCTGCTGGATGATAGAGTGGTGGGGGCAACCTGGGAGAAGGGTCGGGGTGCGGAGGAAGAGATGCCTCCAGAGCTCAGAGCATCTGCTGTTCAGCTCTCAGCGCAGATCTCTGTGAATATTTTAACAACCGGCGTGGCCACAGCCTGGCAGAGTGTCAGCTGAAGGTCGGCTCTGGGCTGCTATGGGAGACGTGATTTAGATCCTCATGCTTCGCATGCATCAGGATCACTTGGGGGGCTTCATGACTACGGGCCCAGGCCACGTTCACTACCCTGGCGAGACTGCCGACCTCTAGGGACTCAGCTCTGACTCTGGAGAGGTCGATGCTGACTCGAGAGATGGTGTCCAGCACATGGTCTCTAGGGGCAAATGCTGAATTCAGCCACGGTCATGTGAGTGAGTGACACTGGTGGACACTGCAACATGAAGAGTGCACGTCTCTTTAATCGAAGTCTGCCCGGCCCTGGCCCAGTTCCCCTGGATGGTGGCTGCTCAGCCCTGCGGGGGACAGACCCTCTGCATTGCAAAGAGATGCGGGAAGTCGTGGAGTCAGGTACTGAGCTCCCCCTGCCTCTCCGCAGTCCCAGGTGGGGCACTGCGTTCAGTTCTGCTCTGGAAGCTGTGTGTGGGAGGCGTGGAGCCTGGTTCCACAGGCTGAGGGAAGGGCACAAGAGGAGAAGCTGGGTGCTGCTTAATGAGACCCTTCCTCAAGCGTGGTCCTCAGAGCCTGTTCTCGGGTGACCGCAGCCTGCCTCTGCCTCTCGGTTGCCCCTCTGCTTCCTCCAATCCAGTGCTACCCTCCGAACCTTCCCTGGCAACAGGGTGCCGGTATTTGACAGTGGGGCACAGGGGCACCCTCCTAGGGACCACCTGAGTCGTGGCTGAGGCGTGCAGCATTCACAAGGTAGAGTTTTCTGCTTTAGACCCTCCCTGAGGGGCTGCGGTTCTACTGGGGAGGTCTGGGACGTTCCTTGAATGAATGTAATCCTCCAATTATCAGAGAATGGTGGCTTGATCGCTACATTTACAGCCAATTCCTGAAACTTCCTCCCTTCTTCCTATCCCCTTCTCACTGACTCTCGTCCTTCATGATTGAGCTTAGACTGTGCTCTGACTCCGAGATGAAGCCACGTTTTTTTTTTTTTTTTTTTTACCATGATAGTCTTGGGCATGTTCTTGTTTTAGAATTTTCACCTGGACTGGCCATGACCTCCGAGGCTAACAAGGGTTAGATGTCCACTGGGTAAGGCACTCTACACTGCTATCTCAGCTCATCCTCACCATAGCCCAGTGAAGTTAGCACTATTGTCATTCCCATTTAGGGAAATACACTGCGGATCCCAGAGGTTAACGTGCCTGGCGTCACCTAACCAGGAAATAGTAAATGAGGATTTGAACTCAGTTTGCATGCAATAGAGCTTGCTGAAACCAAAAACTGTGCCTAGCATTTGCTACCACACTGCACTATTTTGCCTCCTAGTGTTCTGGAGTCAGAGCCCGGAAGTTGAGGGTCTTTTGGTTCATACAGCACAGTCCCCTCTTTGCTTGGTCACTATCTGTGGTTAACCTCTAAGCCTCAGTTTCTATAAGGTATGGTAGAAATGACTTGAAAGGCTGTGTCAGTTGTCCTCGCTGCTGTGCCTAGTGTATAGTAAGCCTAGGAAACCTGTTAGTGGAATGAATGAGTAGAAGGTGTCAGTGCAGTCAGTCTTACTTGGAGACATCCTTGCAAACTCTGGTAAAACTCTACAGAAATTAGATGCAGTGTGGAAAGGTGCGAATCTGATGCTGCTGTGAGTGAGGAGGATGGAGGTGGTGAGGGCAGCGTGGGAAGCCTTCAAGTTATTTAAGTTTCTCAGACAGGTTCTTCCATAGAGAGCGGACGATAGGAAGCATTTTTAGTTTCATTTGGAAGCCATGCTTGGTATTTTCATGGCACCCAAGTAACCTGCTTATTAACAACAAAAGTTAAAAATTGAGTGGAACCATTCCCACCGAGGCATTCTAGGTGTGCTGAACTTGTCACATCTCTGCCACTCAAATCATACAGTGCTTCCTATCCTTGTGACTTTGTCCCATTTCTGCATCTGGTTTGTTTCACTGAGTTTAATGGAGCACAGAGTAGGCTGTGTTGATTTCGTGGAGTACACATGGGCCAGGATTTCTTACAGAAATGGCAGAACAACATGCTACCATATTGGCTGTACCATCCTTGGCAAGATGATGCTTTTATTGTGTTTTATTAAGCTCTGGAAGTCTGTGGACTATTGAGTTTGCTGACTGTGTGGGTGGGTGTGTAAAAAAAAAATGTGTATTTTGAATCCCAGGACCTTCAAGAATTGTCGAGGGGAAAGGCCTAATTAGATCTGTCTTTATTTTTATGAGTTAAAGTGCCCTCATTGATGGGCATGCAATAAATGTTAAATCAGAACAATTAAGTGTAATGAGAATTAATGGGTTGTCTTGTAACATGTCCTTGGCTCCATGGGATGCCTCCTCACCGTTTCCATGGCTCTGCCTGGCCGGTTCTGCTCACGGCGCCCTCCTTGGTGCGTTGACTAGTTTTTCCCCCTTCTCCACTGCAGACCCTGTTTTTCTTTCCCCACCTGTCAAGGTTGTCTCCTCGCCTGGCCACTAATACCTTCTTGACTCTGAGGTTTTCTTTCAATCCCCTATTTTCCCTCTTCCTCTCATCTCTCCTCTTTCATATATATATATATATATATATATATATATATATATAATTTTTACATATAAGTAAAAATAAGGCATTTTACTTTCCCTCTTTCTTTCCTCCTTTTCTTCTCTACCCTTCTTTGTCTAACTTCTCCGATGGTAGCTTTCCCCTAGGAAGTGCCATCCACTGCAGCCTTGGACACTGTTGCCTGATCAGTAAAACAACCGACCTGTCCCTAATGAGAAGAAACCAGAGAAAGTAAAGAAGGGTGCCATGCAAGCAGAACATAAACCTAAACTCAAACCCCATCCCAGGTTGTTTCTAAGCACGCTGTCTGTGCTAGGGGAAGGGTGGGTTCATTGTTGGCAATGCCATGTGTGGCCCCGTCTGCAGCTCCAGCATTCCTGCTTGTCTATTGTGGGAAAACAGAAGGGGAAGCTTGGAGCAGGGTCCTCTCTTGTTACTTGGTGGTCAGCTTCCTCTCTGGCCTTCTGTCTAGAGCGACTGGACAAGCTGCCTGCCTTTCGTGTGAGTTCTCAGACTGTTCAAAGCCTCCACCACGTTCCCCTCCCTTGGCATGACCCTTTGCAGCCAGGATTATGACTTCGTGAAGGGAAACAGGCATGATGGCTCCTGGGCCCCAGGAGATGGCAGATGCTGTCTGAGATGGCAATAATAAGGTTAAAGAAGCAATACCGGTCATCCTGCCATTGTCAGACTTCTGGCTGAGTCTCGTTAGGACACCATAGCAGTTCTACACAGAAGACGGGGGATGAGAGGCTGCATGCTCCATGCTGCACAATGAAGTGGCCCCCACTCGTTAGTCCGAGTGCTGGGCCTCGCTGTAGCAAACTGTTAGGTTTGGAAGGCCACCGATCTGCCCTCCCACTGGGGGCAGGAGGTCCTGCTCGTACCTCGCCTTTCCTGGAGATACAAGGGGCAGAACAAGCACCAGGCCCAAGACCCCAGAGACTCGCAGGACACCCGTATGGAGGCAGACTGTATTTAAAAGCAATTCACCTCTTTGGGGTCTAGGAAAAGCCACGTGTAGATTCATTTGCTGGGAAACGTGGTCTGCGTGGCTGAGGAAGTGGACACCGCGGCTGTGGCCTTGCCAAACGGTGACTTTCTCCGGAGGTCTGTTTGTTGTCCTGAGTGGCAGCCGCTTCGGTGGGCGAACAGGACGGTCATTTCTGGGCCTGCGGAGGCTGCTTCCAGTTGGGGCCCCTTGACGGTGGCTGGCTGTTCAGGCTTGCCGGAGGTGGGTTGGGAGGTGTAATGTTTTGTGGGAGGAGGGCTGTAATTCTGAAATCTGACGGTTTTGACTTGCTACAAGAGAAAGGACAGCAAAGGAACAGAGGTGAGGCGGGCGGGGGTGTGTGTTATCCCCACCCTGCCCCCCGTGATTGGGTTGAACCTTTTCTCCGTACGTGCCCCCACTGCCATGCCACACTGTGTTTATTCAACACATATTTGTGTCTGCCATGAGTGTCGACTCTGCAGCACGCACTGTGAGGTGCTGTGAACTCACAGTGTGAACAAGACCACCCTGCCAATGATGGCGAGTGTTTGATGGGAGAAGTTAAGACAGTGAGAATGCTGGGGGCTGTCCAACCCCAGCTGGAATAGGGGTAGTCAGGGAGGCCTTCCTAGAGGCAGAGATGTTTAAACTGCAAACTGAGAAGTGATTAAGCATTATCTGGGAAATTGGGGAGGCACTGGCCTATGCAGAGTAAGATCCTTTCTAGAAAATAAAAAGTTCATTTCCTCCTTGCCGATCCTGAAGGCTTATCCCAAGGCCTACCTCTTCCTTGAGCCCCCTACTGCGACTCCATTTAGATAGTTCTCTAATGGCCTTTGAAGTCCTCAGAGCAGTTTGCAGGCTGGACACCTGCTGACTGAATTTAGCAGAATGTGCAAGGGTTTGATTTACTGGCCAACACATAAAAATTGGGAGATTGCATAGAAAAATCACAGCTTGTCTCCAAATCAAAGCTCTGCCAGTCTGGGCTGAGGTCTCCTGGCAGCATCTGATGGGAATCAAGGAGCGGGCCCCCTTTGCGTGATGCCCCAAGCCCCTTCTCACCCTCCGTTCCTCCTCCTCCTCTCCTAGCCTGGCACCTAGAGGAACAGTCATGGGCTGCATAAGATGTTTCAGTCACCCGTGGGCCACATACAGGACAGCGGTCCCATCACACCTGTCTTAGCCTGTGCAAGTACAGTCTGTGATACCTGCACAAAGAAGACAACACCTGGCTACCCATTTCTCAGACTGTCTTCCCTTCATTAAGCAACCTTTGGCTTGTGTGCTTTGTCCAATCCCTGTCTTAGGGCTTAGTGAAGTGTTCTCTGATACCACTTAAAGCATGATTTCTTTTTCCCAGGAATTCAATCCCAGCATCCCTCACTGAGAATCCAAGTTTACTCAGAATTTTTGACCCTCATCACCTGTAATTGAGGTCTGGGCACTCACTAAGTGCTTTAAAAGCTGTACTTTCTGGCTTGCAGTAAAGGCAAATAGGGCCTGGAAAACTGATTATAATATGGACTAAGAACTACTAACTTTGTCCAAATGCCTTTCTCCATTGGCTTATAGCTTAGTAGTAGGAACATCAGTTTGTTGTATCAGATTTGGATTCTATTCCAGATGTTCATGCGTGTCAGCAGCATGATTTTGGGTGACATTCTTTAGAGCCCTAAGCTTTCATCTCCTCATTTTAAAGCGAAGCAGAAAATAATGCTTACATCTGGTGTAGTTAGGATTAAAGATGGGACTTGTGAAGACCTATCAGGTTGTTAGTATTCAGTAAGTGCTTACCAAATAGGAGGAACCCACATCCCTTTTGCATTTGTGAGTGACAGTGGTATTGTGGTAACTGTTGGTAGTGCTCTTAGTGGTGATGGTGGTGACAGTGGTAGTGATGATGGTGGTAATGGTAGTAGTTGTAGTGCTGGTGGTGGTGCTGATGGTGGTGAGGATGATGATGGTGGTAGTGGGAGTGCTGCTGCTGTTGGTGGTATTGATGATGATGATGGTGGTAGGAAGGTGGTAATGGTGAGATGGTGATAATAGCAGTGGTTATGATGATGGTGGTGGTGGTGTGTAAAAAACTAAAAGACGCAATGAGTATCACTTGATTTTCTTAATGTCACTTCTTCTTTCCACCATCCCTCCTGCTTCAAGAATATTCAAGACTTGTATCTTCTCTGGGAAAAGCCCTGGCCTGGAAGTCTTAGTTGCCTCTTTAATACAATAATTATGTTTCAAACCCCATGTAAATGCTTCCTATATCTTCTCATCCAAAAAGGCCATTCTTGTGTGGCCGTTGTTATTCTTATTCCTCTTTAACAGATTAGGCTAAATAAATAACTAAATAAATAGTTTCAAGAGGGTGAAGTATGTTGGCTAAAGTTGCCCAGCCAGCAAGCAGCAGAGCTGAAATTCAAATCAAGATTTGTCTGGTGCCAAAAGCACATTTCATGTAACATACCTGGGAAGCACAACAGACAATCAGTAGCGTGTCTGGGAGTGGTGATGGGTATGGAGATGGGGGGGGGGTTCTTTTGAGGCTGCAGTTTTGTTCCTTGTCCGCTAACACTAAAGTTTCAGGAGCTGGGACACCATGCAGAGTTGGAGGCCTGCAGAGTCAGGGCTGCAGATTTAAGCCCCTCCTACCTTTTCAATGCCATTTCTTGAGTTTTCGGGTTTCACCAGGATGGATGGTGGAGCAGAGGCAGGCGGTTTTGGCAGAGGCTCACTCTTGATGGGGATTTCCTTGCCTTCCATGGTGAGAGAGCTGGCGGCCGAGTGCACCCTGGAGTCGCTGCTCTTGCTCATACAGGTGAGGGCTGGCTCTCCCATAGGAGCAGGTTTGGGACCCACCTCCAGCACCGCTGAGGGGGACGAGGGGGTCCCCTGTGGCTGGTAGAACTGGAACTGCTGAGGCTGTAGCACCACGGTGGGGCTACGCCTGAGGGAGCCCACCACAAGGGTGGGGATCCCAGATGGAACGGGTCTCTGCAAGGATCCATCTGGGGAATGACACGACAGAGATGTCAGCAACAGGGCGGCAGACAGTGGGTGCGGTCGGGGCTGGGGAAGCAGTGTGTGCTGATATCCCAGAGTAGTTAAGTGCTTTCCTAATTGGACTACACTCTCATTCTCTTGGGGTCTTTGAGAGGTGACCTTATTCTTTCTTTAGTGCTATTTGCTGATGTTGGCAGCAAATAACTGGCTAGCTGAATGTTGTATGTATGGCAGGCATGTCAGAGGTACACTGCTGCCCTTTCTCTCTCTCTCTTTCTCTCTCTCTCTCTCACACACACACACACACACACACACACTCCTTTCTCCTAGGCTTTTGAGACAGACTGAAGAAGAGAGACAGCTTTTTAGTAAGAAGCAGGCAGACCAGAGAAAGGACACAAGAGACAGAGAACTTGAGACACACAAGAGGAAGACAGCTAAGAGAATGAGGAGGAGGAGGAAAAAGGGGGTGGGGGGAGGTTCTGTACCCCTGCTTGCTGCACAAAGTCCCAATGTGAGCTTTAGGTGTGTGTTGGTGGCATCAAGGGAAGATGAGTGGAAGGAGTAGAGAGTGCTCATGCTGGACAAATGGGCCACTCAGTGGAATACTCGGGAAGTTTATTCCCGTGTTAGGGCTGTGTGTGGGCGAGCTTTGCAGGTGTTCTGACACAGGGTCTGGAATCAGACCTCCTCCCCCGGAGCTGAGGATGAGGAAGTCACATCACCTCCCTCACTGGTGAGCAGGAGGTAATGAGAGGATGTCACGGGATTGTGGTGAGGACGACGTATTACAATGCGTGCAAGGTACTAGAACAGTGCCTGGGACATGGTAAATGCCCCTTCCTTGTCAGCTACCATTCATTCCTTCTGGGTAAAGGGTAGCATACGCTAAAAATGCAAGGCCTAATGGTTTGATTTTGATCCTTCCTGAACTCGTTCTTCTTCCTTCTTCTTAAGATTGAGAAGGTCTTCCCTCAGTAAAAGGAAGCCCTCCCTTTCCCTCAAATTCTCTGAGACAGGAGATCCCTACACTGCAGGTGACCTGGGGAATTAGGACTTCATTACATTCTGGAGGCTGGAGACACGTAGACAGCCACTGGCTGTGTCCCAGCCAGATATGTTTGTCCTTTGCGACACTCCACAGACATGTGTTTGACCAAAGTAATTTGTGTCCAGCACAGAGGCCCGAGCCAGGCCACATTGTGCACTGTGGCTCTTCATTGAGCAGATGTGAACATGAAGAGCCAAACACTCACTAAACACAGTTGGGGTTCTCAGCTGCCTCAAGCAAGCCCGTCACCGTCTACACAAGGCTGACCTTTCAATTTAGACATTGATTTTTCCACTGACAGTCCTGTGAGGTGTACATGGTCAATTCCCCTGTCATTTTGCTTTGCTTTGCAGAGATTGATAGCTTGTCCCGCTTCACCTTGGGAAAAGGTAGAGGAGAAAGCCTTGGGGGCCTAGGAGGCCAAAGCAGCACCAGACAGACAGGTCCTTAGGCTCCCATAAATGGGTGAAAAATTGGTTTCATGCCCTACCCATTTATCTTGTGGGTTCCTAATTTCCAACACAGTGAATGCTTTCTTATTCCAAGTACACACAAGGCAAGCAAAATGCCAGGCCAATCAAGATTCATGCAGAGGGAGGAGCAGAGGGGAGTATAATAAGGGGAGTGTGAACAGACACCTGTGGGATGCAGTTCTCTGCACTCCTAAGTGGTCTACACTGTGAACAATTTGACTCCAAGCTCAGTTGTGGTCTACCTGAACCCAAGATGGTCTGTTTAGCTATAGTGGCAATGGTAGCACTAGTCAAATAAAACTTTTATTCAAAATTACCCTTTCTGGAGGGCTTTCAACGTGCCAGGCTCTGTGCCATCAGCCTTCCATGGTTTATTTTATTAAATCCTTAGACCGAATGCTCATGAAGTAGATGTTGTTTTTATTTCCACTTTATAAAGAAGAAAACGTAAGACTGAAAGGATTGGTCAGTTACCAAGGTGATCATAGAGGGATTATTTATGTCGTGTGTAGAATGCGGAGGGGAGGGACATGCAGAAGAGGGGACTTGAGGTTGTGGAAGGGAGGCAGGTTGGGTGGAAGGAAGGGGCCAGAATCGTGGGGCTGGTGGCCCAGCAGGTTGTCAGACAGAAACTCTGGGACAGGGTGGAGCTATGACATTTGCTCTCTTTTCCTTAGTGGCGTGCTGTCCCACACTGACTAGTCATGCGGCACTGTCACATTTAAACATTTGTTAAGATTCTAAGAGGGATTGCAGAGCCCAGTTTATATCAAGGGACACAGAATAAACTCTTTGTGCCAAGCTTGGCTTATTGTCTTCTAAAAGAGTGTAAAGGTTTAAATGTTGGTCCTTATAGGATAATAGACTTCAAACACTTTTTAGAACCTCTAAAAAGGGAATCTTCTGTGAAAGTTGAGGTTGTTAAGAGATGAAATCCTGGTTCTTAAGACAAAGGGTCTGTGTGTGTTGCCGTGTGTGCAATGTGGATGTTATGCAGGTAAAAGTAAAAGCAAGTCACAGAATTGTATGGTGAGTATGGCTGACAGGTGTTTGTGTATCTGCCTGTCCCTGGAAAAAGCCCTGGGACTGGGGATGAAGGCTGTGAGGGAGACTTGATTTTGCACACTCTGTGTGCTCTCCCATTCCTAACAGTAGGAATTGGCTCTGTGCACAGCCTCCTTAATTCTCATTTTCTGCTCCCACCCCCTGCCTTCCCCCCTTCCCCAGTACCCTGTTTCTCTGTGGTACTTCCTGAGGAGTTCCCTGGAGTACAGTTTGAGAAGCACAGACCCAGCAAGTGCCTTGGCTGCTTTGTGTCAGTGGGAGCCAGCATCCACTTTGGCAGTGTTCTCATTACCAACTGGCACTCAGGACTGTTATCAACCTGCACGAAGGCGGTGACTTTGAGCCTATCTGGCTCCATGCAACAAAGCGGCTCATCACTGGGGGACTGTGAATACCCTTTGCAGAGGCTCATTGTCAGGCCAGGATCCGGTTCCTGAGAAAAGCACCCTGTGTCCCTGGGGTCGGGACCTATCACTTAGCACTAGGCACGTACCTCTTTGCCACCACTTACTCTTTCTCATGCTGCTCCGCCCTTTCCGAAGAGACCCTTGTCCTGAAGTCCCGGGGCCGGCTGTGCTCCTCACAGGGTTGACTACGGCAGTGGGCACAAAGACAGATTTGAAGGGACGGCTTTGCCGGGGGTCACCTTCTGATAGGCTGCCTTGTGAGGGCACAGAGGAGGTGGATAACGTCCATGTGGTGTAGAGACCAGGATTCCGGGAATCGGGGAAACTAGAGTTCTTGCTGGTTGTCGGACATTTTAAAGAAAGGAAATAGGAAATAGAAAAGAAAATGTTCAGTCAAGGTTAAGCTGCTTGTGACCCCAGCATCCCATATTGAGAGCCAGTTTGAGCCCTCACTGCTCTGCTTCTATCCAGATCCCTGCTAATGCACCTGGGAAGGTAGTGGAAGATGGCCCGAGGGCTTGGGTTCCTGCCACCCATGTTGGGGACCTGGATGGAGTTCCTGGCTCCTGGCTTTGGCCTGGCCCAGCCCTGGTGCTAAGAGCATTTGAGGAGTGTACCAATGGATGGAAGATCCCTCTTTGTCTCTCCCTCTCTGTTGCTCTGCCTTTCAAATAAATAAATTTAAAACCATCATTTCCCAATGATATGCTAAATATGACTGATCCTCCCCTTCTTCTGCTCATACACACTCTTTTTGTCAATTGCAGCCTAGAGCTTGACAATGTGTAGGTGTGCTGAGGGCAGGGAGAGGAGCTCACGGTGAGGGCCTGGTGGAGCTAGACTTGAATTTCATCATCTTCTAATCCTCGCTTCACATCCTTTCTGTCCTGACTTCAGAGCGCATGATCTCGTATGTGCTCATTTGGTTTTGCAGGGGCAATTTCTTATTCAGCCTTGAGTTGGGATTTTCAACAACATCTTAAAGCTTTAAAAAATAACAATCCTTTGTCCGTTGCTGCCAGCCTGCAATTCCCTGAGCTTCCTGGGGTAGTAGCTGTCGGTCACATGCCTTTTTACTGTTTACCATTCCAACCCCAGTATCACATCTCCAACCAAGCAGCCCATCAGTCACCCTGTCACCCTGCTGATTAAGGAACCTTGGCTAATTCCCATGGGAATAAAGAACTCAGTCAAGCCCCTGACACAGAAATGCCTTCATAGTTTCCTTCGTATCAGCAGCTCCAGGTTTTTTTTTTTTTTTTTTTTTGATTATTTCTCCTCTTTTTTTTCTTCCTCCTTCTTTTGATTAAGGGATTCATAGTTAATAATGATTCAGTTATATAAGAACACAAGCAAGACATCAGTTTTTTAGCCAATGCGGTACCTCAAAGAGTTTATGAAAAAATGGAATTAAAAATGTTTATTTTGGCACCAAAAATTGAAATCTATGCATAGTTTTCTCATGATATGCATTTTCATGAATTTTTTGAAGACACCTTTATACATGCGGCCAAATGCTCTAGGAACTGATGCCTGTGGCAAGGGGACTTGTGTCCACAGCTGTCCGTCTGCCTGTGGTCCTTGGGGTGGTGCAGTTAGGAGTAAAGGTCTGGGAGGTGGAGAGAATTTCCCAGCACTGGCTTCTGTGCATGAGTACGGGTTAGGGTTAGGGTTAGGGTTAGGGTTAGGGTTAGGGTTAGGGTTAGGGTTAGGGTTAGGGTTAGGGTTAGGGTTAGGGTTAGGGTTGTCTCTCGAACAGAGACCTCAAGGTGTCGGATGCTGAACATGGATCAGCAATGGGAAGGACAGGTTAGAAAAATTGTTTCCTATGGTAGCAGCAGCAGCAAGGATGGACTACAGCCAATTAGGCCTAGGACAATCTTATTCTTCAAGTTCCTTCTGTGAACAGCTCTTTATAGACTGAGATGTCCCTCGTTTGTCTGGCCCAGCACTGGGATGGATTCCAGGAGCTCCTAAATCCCAAGTCCCATATGCAACACTGAGTCTCTCTGTGTTCTTGGGCAGAAGCATAGCAGTTACCTAGCACTTTCTTCCAAGCATTTTGCTAACATTGATTAATTAATCCCCATGACCCCCACATCTGCAGCGTTATGACCCTTGTTTCCAGATGAGAAGACTGACAGACATCCTGGCTTCCATGAGAGCAGTGGATGTTGCCTGTCATTTGCTCGATTGTGTAGGTTCCCATGGCCTTTGCTTTATTGGGATATTTACCCTTAAGAATGTGTCCGATACTTAAAAGGGACATTACAAACAGCAGCTCTACGCTGCTCACCACTGGCAGCAGCCTTCTGGGAAGGAGAAAGGTTGGACCTTGACAATCTTGACATAGTTCTGTGTACAGCGTTAAAGGCAAATGAATGGTAGCCCATTTGTCACTTTTCTCCACCCGAAAGGTATCTGTAGTGGGTATATGTGCCTGTGAAGGTTGCAAGCAAGAGAAATAGCCTGGATAGTTGTGCAGAAGGGAATTTACTGGGAAGACTGGAGGGAGAGGAAAGCAACAAGACCCAAGCAGGCTGCAGGGAGCTGAGCTGCAGGAAGATCCGATGAGAGTCTGTGGCTGGTGCTGTCACCATGAGTAGTCTTCACTCTGCCCCCAGCCTCTCCTCCCTTGCTCAAGTTTCAGAGTCCTACGAGGGAGTGCAATATTAGCTGAGGCTATGGGGATGGATTTAGCAAAGAAGCGACCAAAAAGAATATTGGTGCTATTACGTTGGATGCTGGACAGATGAGAACCAATGTTCTGTGCAACCTGAGCGAATGGATGGCTTCAGGATCTGGAAAGAAGCATCATGGTGGCAGAGATTTAGTGATGGTTAATAAAAGCTGGACAATTGGTGTCATCTCTGGCATGGAGTGCTGGAGCAGGAACTAGCACAGCAGCGTTTGCTCTTTTCCCAGGTAACGGCTCACTTGCTTACTCTCCAATCTAAACCTGACATTTTTGTCAGCTCTAGTCTATAGCAGGCATCTGCTACCTTGAAGTACTATTGTGTAAAAGGGTGCACTATACAACAAGAGTCTGGGTGGCAGTGCAGAGCTATTATTGCAAACGGAAAGCAAAGACTTGAGAGGAAAAAAAAATCCCAAATACACAGACTTAAAAAAAGAAAACAAGGAGCTTTGCACTTGTAGCCCAACTAACTCAGTTCCTACAGATAACCTGGTAATAATCATAAACATGCAGCTCACAAAGGACAGCATTATGAGTCTTGAGAAGCGGGAAGAATGGAATTTCTCACAATGGAAAGGGAAGGAACAAGGGTTCGTTTGGGGCTGGCATCCATGGCACAGTGGGTTAAGCTGCTGCCTACAGTGCCTGCAACACCAGTAATCCCCTAAGACTCCAGGTTTGAGTCCTAGGTGCTCCATTTCTGATCCAACTCCCTGATAATGTACCTGGGAAAGCAGTGGAAGATGGCCCAAGTACTTGGGGGCCCTGGTACCCTTGTGGGAGACCTAAATGGAGTCTCGGTCTCCTGACTGTGGCCTGGCCCAGCCCTGGCCACTGTGGCAGTTCTGGGAGTGAACCAGCAGATGGAAAGATGGAAGATTCCTCTCTCCCCCCTCCCCCCGTTCCCCTTCTCTTTCTCCCTCCTTCCTTTCTCCCCTCCTTCCCCCTCCCTCTCCTTTTCCCCCTCTGCCTCTCTCTCTGTAAGTTTGCCTTTTAAATAAAGAAATCTCAAAAAAAAAAAAAAAGGAACAAGGGTTAGCTCTACCTACATGGACAAACTGCCATATGCCATTCTCATCCAAGATCAGTGGGGACAGGAACTTTGTTTACATCAGAGAGATCATCAAGGTAAACAGCAACACTAAAAAATCATTGACCCTGACCCTTTGCCAATTGCTAACCCTTAGGAACAGACACTCTAAGGGGACTTGTTCTCCTTGGGAATGTAGGTTCCCCCCACACAAATCATGTCTCAACATGAATAGCATCTCAACTTACACATACGTTCAGATTTCTATGAGCTGGGAGGAAGGGGTGGACTCAATGGCAAATGCGATGCTGACATTCCACCCAGTATCTGAAATGTAGCTGTCTCAATACAGGGAGTTTAGGTGCTCATGACTTGCCCAAGAAAGAAGTAGATCTACCCAGGAGAAAAGCCAAGGAGAGAAATGGAAGCTGGGGCCTTGAAATACAAGAGCACCTCAAGACAGTTTGGAGACACCTCAGAAATCTGAATATAGACCCACCATATGACCCAGCCATCCCAATCCTGGGAATTTACCCAAAGGAAATGAAATCAGCATATGAGAGATTTATCTGTACCTCCATGTTTATTGCAGCTCAATACACAATAGCTAAGATATGGGATCAACCCAGATCTCTGTCAACTGAAGACTGGATAAAGAAAATATGACACAGTGGTAAAAAAAAAAAAAAAATGAAATCCTAACATTTGCAACAAAATGGATGCAACTGGAAAGCATTATACTTAGTGAAATAAGCCAGTCCCAAAAAGGCAAATACCATAAGTTCTCCCTGATCTGTGGTAACTATAGAGTACCTAAAAGGTAATCTAAAGAAGTGAAATTGACACTTTGTGATATGATGACTTTGAACAGCCCTTGTCTTGACTGTTGAACAGTTTTTTTTTCATACTATTTGTTGAACTCTTTACTTAATGTAGGGTTAATTTTAGTAAAAAATATGAATGGGAATAGGAGAGGGAAGAAGGATGGGAGTATGGGAAGGAGTGAGGGTAGGGTAGGAAGAATCACAGTGTTCCTAAATTTGTATTTATGAAATGCATGAAGTTTGTATACCTAAAATAAATGGTAGCTGGGTGAAAAAAAAAGAGTGCACCATCAAAAAGAGCACTTCAAGTAGTTTGTAGAAAAATGGTACACAAAATTTTGAAATCTGTGGAAAGAAGGGGTCTTTAAAGGATTTATGGAAAATGTATATTATGAAGAAACTATTTATGGGTTTCCATTGTTTTTGCACCAAAATAAACATCTTTTAATTGTATCTTTCCATGAAATTTTTTTTTTTGGACAGGCAGAGTGGACAGTGAGAGAGAGAGACAGAGAGAAAGGTCTTCCTTTACCGTTGGTTCACCCTCCAATGGCTGCCGCAGCTAGCTCACCACGCTGATCCAAAGCCAGGGGCCAGGTGCTTCTCCTGGTCTCCTATGGGGTGCAGGGCCCAAGGACTTGGGCCATCCTCCACTGCACTCCCTGGCCACAGCAGAGAGCTGGGGGAAGAGGGGCAACCGGGACAGAATCTGGCGCCCGGACCGGGACTAGAACCCCGTGTGCCGGCGCCGCAAGGCAGAGGATTAGCCTAGTGAGCCGCGGCGCCGGCCATGAACTTTTTTTTTTTTTTTTTTTTTTGACAGGCAGAGTTAGACAGTGAGAGAGAGAGAAAGGTCTTCCTTCCGTTGGTTCAACCCCCAAATGGATGCTATGGCCGGCGCACTGCGCCGATCTGAAGCCAGGAGCCAGGTGCTTCCTCCTGGTCTGTGTGGGTGCAGGGCCCAAGCACTTGGCCCATCCTCCACTGCCTTCCTGGGCTACAGCAGAGAGCTGGACTGGAAGAGAAGCAATCAAGACAGAATCCGGCACCCCAACCGGGACTAGAACTCAGGGTACTGGCTCCACAGGCAGAGGATTAGCCAAGTGAGCTGTGGTGGCTGGCCGCTTTCCATGAACTTTTAAAAGTACCCTCATACACTTGAATGAAATTCTATGTACATTGTAGTTAGGGCGATCATTTGTTCTGGTTTCTTCAGGAAAGTCTCAGTTTACTCCTGCTCAAAAGTATATTAGTATGGATGATAAAATATATGGTCTCTTTATTCTAATGGTTCTTTGATAACCAGGAGTTTGGGCCACAGCTTACTGTCTACGTAAATGCCCTTGCTGTAGGCATGGGCCCTAGGGAATTCATGTTAGCTTCCCTGGAGAAATTCTTCATAACAGATGGGTCCTTTTGCTCCTGTCACTTGGAGACCATTCTGCACCTTCCACAGTGCATCCCAGCTTTGACAGATTCTACCACCAACCATCCCAACTTGTTCCAGTCATCATTTACCCTGTAAGCCTCTCTTCTCATTCCTTGAAGATCTTAGCTTCTGGATCACCATCAGTCTCCGGACACAACAGAGCCTAACATGGGTGATCGCATCTAGTCTTAGGGCTTTAAGTACCATCCCAAGCCTGGAGCTCTCTTAAATGCTAGGCTTGTGTACTCAGCTGCTCACAAATGTCTCTACTTGGGTCACTAATACACATCTCAGGCTCAGGTTATGTTTCTCCCCACACCTCAAATCTTTCCCTGTTAGGGTTTTCATCTTCACCATTTCAGTAAAAGGCAGCTCTGTCACCCAGCCACTCAGAGAAAAAGCTTGGACTCGTCTTGAATTTTGTATTCTTTCATACCCAACATTTGATCTTTGAGAAAATCCTGACTTCAAGGTATGTCCAGAATCTAACCCCATCTGCCTATCTCCACAGCTAACAACACCCTGGTTCAATTCACAATCACTTCTCCCAAGGATTATTACAATGTACTCTTCACTGGTGTCTCTGTTTCCACCTTTTCTTCCCTAGTTTATAGTTTATACACAACAACTAGGGAGATTCTGATTAAATATAAGTTAGATCATGTCACTCTTTGGCACAAAGCCCTGCCATTGGGTAAAATCGCATCTCTCATTATGATCTGGAACATTCTGTAGGAACTGTCCTCCAACCTCTTGCTAGCATTCTGACCTCGTCTGTGAATCTCCCCTTCATTTGCTATAATCCAGTATCGGACACATTGCCACATTAGGACCTTCGTATTGCTGCTCCTTTGCCCTGGAATGCACTTGGCCCAGGGATATACAGGGCTCACTCTCGTTTCTTTCACTCCTCCTTCTAACCTCTTAGCAGGGCCACCCCTGACCAACCTATCTAAAACTTAACTACCCACCCAGATTCTGTTCCACCTTTCTGATTTTTTTCTTAATCTTCCTCCTTAACATACTGTATATATTACGTATGAGGCTACTTTACAAAGTTTGTGGAAAATGTCATTAAAACATCAGTAATTTTGGTGTAAAAGATTTGAAATTATGCATGAATGGTCTTCAAAAATTCGTGGAGTATATATTATGAAAAAACTATAAATGGATTTCAAGTTTTTTACATCAAAATAAACTTTTAAAAATATTTATTTATTTGAAATGCAGAGTGACAGAGACAGGAAGTTTTCATCTGCTGGTTCAGTCCCCAAATGCCTGTAAGAGCAGGGGCTGGGCCAGGCTGAAGCCAGGAGCCAGGAATACCATTTGGGTCTCCCAAATGGGTGGCAGGAACTTAAGCACTTGGGCCATCCTCTGCTGCCTTCCCAGGAGCGTTGGCAGGAAGCTGGATTGGAAGTGGAACAGCTGAGATCGAGTCAGTACTCTGATATGGGATGCCAGTGAAGGAAGCTGCAGCTTAACCTGCTGTACCACAACAGCTGTCCCTGAAATAAACTTTTAATTCCATGTTACCATGAAAATTTTGAAGTATGCTTGCTTATGCATGTGCTGTTTATAATCTGTCTCTCTCACTGGATTGTGAGCACCTGTTGGCAAAAATTTTATATATTTTGCTTATTGATTTTTTTCCAGTGCCTGGAAATGTGCCTGACATAGAGCTAGTGCTCAATAAATACTTGTTAGAGAAATGAATTAAAGCATTAGTTATAGAGGCCTGTAGTTTGCCTTCAGATATTTTGTAACTTCATAACCAATCCCAAGAACCTTCTATTGAAAGGAATACCTATGATCTTCTTTCCTTACTTCCTGCCACATGAAGAAATCTTTCTCTACCACTGTGAATCTGTGAGAACCCGTACAATTCCTAGAAAGGGGATTACCACCTCACCAGCTAGTCTGGCTGGAAAAAAATCTATGGGTTAGAAAAGGCAGCCTCTTTTTGAACCAAAACCTTCTAAGTTGTATCCCCTGGTCTACTCTACTGCCCCCCCTCCTAGAACAAATCAACTTCCCGCTCTACACAGTCTATTCCAATCCCTCTGACCCTTGTCTTCTACGGTTACAAAGCCTAGTTTCTTTATCCATTCCCCAAATGGTGTCGATTGCTGTCTCCTTACCATCATTGCTGCCCTCCTCCGGACACAGTGCCCTGCCTTAATGAAGGTCCCCCAGAGTGCGCATGTCACTGTCCCTTTCCCTGGAGTTGTGACCCTCTGGTATGTCATAAAGGCGGTTGTTGATGTCTGGTAATGGCTTCACTGCCTTGTGGCTTTGCCTGGGCTGTTAGGGGGTGGAGGTGGGAAGAGTCATGAGATGCTTTAGGTCGGTGTGCTTCTGGGGCACTGTGTGGGGTGGTAAGACAGACTGTGGGTCAGTGAAATGCACATCTATACTGCAGGACAGAGGCTGGGAAAAGCTGTTGAGGACCTGCAGGTAGCTAGTGTTCGATCTGGGGTGCAGATGGACAGGTGGAGGTCCGAGTTCATGGAAACACTGCTCCTGGTCTAGCGTCCTGGGAGCTTTCCCATGGTGCTCCAGGGAGGTCATGTGAGCACCGCTAGACAGTGTCAGGGTGGAGGATGTGAAGTGGGATTTCTGGGATTTGTGTAGAAGGAAATCTGAAATCTTATTCTTGAGTGACTTGCTTAACTCTGTCCTCTGTTTCCTCATCTATAAAATAATATCTACTATGTAGTACTCTTGGGCAAAGCCAGCGAGTTAAAAGATAAAAGGTTCTTGTAATCTGTGAAGAACTATATAAAAAAGTAACCACTTTTGCGATTTTTCTTTTTTTGAGTTAGGAAGGTGCTAGGGTCAAAGCCACTGAAAGCATTGAGTCCTTACAACAGTTCCACCCACAGATGGCTCCCAGCCCAGCATGGTCCCACCTCCCAGTGCCTCAGACGGGGGGAGACCCACCTGAAGATAGGGATGACATAATGATGGGGGAAGATGCCCACTCGGCCAGTGACCAAGGAGATGCCCCTGAGCCAGCCGTCCTGGGGCTTCCCCATGACCCTGACACCTTCTCCCTTCTGCAGGTCCAGCTCATCGGGTCCGTGGGCTGAGTAGGAGTGCATGGCTACAAACCTGGGAGACAAAGGAAAGGGGTGAGGGAAGAAGGTGAAGACGCCTGGCAGAAGGAGCTGGAATCTCAGAGCCCAGCAGCCCAGGGGTTAGCAATAAAAACCTTTTCAAGACTGAAACTGAAGTGTGAGGCGTGTAAAAGTGGAAGAACCTGGCTGAAAAAGCAGTGGAGGCGGCCAGATCCTTGCCTTCTCCATCTCCCTCCTCCTCTTCCATGCGGCCCCACACAGGCACAAATCACAAATTTAGGTCAACGTGGAAACTTTAATAAGGAGAAAACTGGCCTCCAGCAGAGAAAGCAGCTGGTGACTAGGAATCAGAGGCAGGGCTGGGTGTTAAAACTAGAAGTGATGGCTTTTCTGAGGCTGCTTGCTTATTTATTTATTTATTTATTTGCAGCCAGCAGGGTTCAGGGAAACCAGAGATCTCTTAGCCACTCTCCTGAGAGAGGGACATGCTTGGCTCCCAGCAGTGGCCTGAGGAGCCAGCTAAAAGTAAGCAGGGAAGTGGACATGGGCAAGTAGGAGGCAGGGCTTAATTCTTTCTTACGGTGGGGTTGGAAGGGGGCAACACACAGTGGACTCCTGGCTTCACATCACATTCAGTAGAATGGGCTTGTAACACAGCACAGATGTCCCGGGGTTAGCACTGATCTGCATCCTGAGTCCCTTTCACTGGAATCAGGTGGTGCCATCCAGGATGAGAGGGTGAAGACAAGAGGAAACAGTGAGGCAGTGCAGTAAGGATGGCTGCATGCCTGAAGGCATAGGGCAATACCTCACTTCAGCAGGCACACGCAGGGATCAGCAGTATATGACCCTCAGGGTGGACCTTAGCAGGTCCTTCCCGGCTGCAGGGACTGGGAGACGCTGGTACATTTTAGGGAAGGGAATGGGGGAATGCTCTCCTCTGTGTGCTTTTCTTTTCCCTTCCTAAAACTCTGGTTTTTTTTTTTTTTTTTTTTGCTGATTACTAGAGCAACATCTATTTATGACCCGGCATTTTGAATCTAAAGGAAGACAATAGAGATTGCTCAGTACCCAATCTCCCAGTGATGATGTGGTATACAATTTTGCAGTCTCTTTCTACTTTTGTAAAATAATGAGCTATGATGACGTGACTGGCTAATTGTAAGTGTGTGTGTGCGTGTGAACATTTCCTTTAGAGTAGAAGAGGAAAGGGGGGTTGCTGCCTCGTGGAGGTAACGTTGAGGCTCAGTGGGCAAAGGGGTTGGCAGGGCAGACCCCGTGAGCCAGGAGCTGGGGTGAGGACTGAGGTTTTTACTCACATGTTGGCTGAGAGGTGTTGCTGGGAGCCGGGCAGACTGACCATGGCTGTGGGGTGCCCCGGGGAGGCAGGTGCCGAGTGGTAAGTGCTGACCTGCATAGACAGACACACAGATGAAACAGACAGACAAGCAGAACCAGTGAACACCACAAGCCAGGCCCGCAGCAAACGGGGCTGCTAGGGAAAGGCCTGACACAGCTGAAAACCAAGAGCCACACCCAGCACCACCCACTGTGCATCTTCGCTGTGGTTTGTGGCTGTGGGCAGAACAGGGTGGTGACAGACTAACGCAGGTCCTGCTGGGGTGGAATGCCAGGCCTGCATTCCTCCAGGCTGCTCAGATATGGATGAGGAGTCCAATTTCTAGTCAACAGGGCACTGCCAGGCTCACTGCCCCACCCCTCCCATCTCCCAGTGTGCTCTTTCCCTGTACCACAACCTGCTCTCAGCAAATGGTAGGCTGGCTGATAATGATTCGGAATGTAGCACCTGCAAGGCAGTTTTGAGAGTAAAGCACCAGTTGATTGAATCCTTATTAAAGATACTATTATATAACGTGCATTCTTTGGGTGAAAGCCTGAGACAAGGAAGGGAAAAAGGTCACCCCACTAGTATGAAACAAAGAAAACTTTAAATCAGTGAAGAGTTTAGGTTGTGAGCCCAATATTATTATTTACTGCTGCTATTACACACACATATATACAAACACCACATGGCCATGTATCCAGTGACTTACAGAGCATGGATCTGAGTCGCTTTGACTCTTCCAGGATGAAAGAGGAGACAGTAGCTATCAGAGCTCCCCAGATCTGCCTCTCATCCTAAGCCTTGGCCCTGATCAGCAGAGTGTCTTGCTTATTTCCTTCTCGGCCCCGACACACTGTGATTGCTTCTTTGTTTTTTCACTGATCCCCACTCGACTCAAAATTTCATGAGGGCAGAGACTGTCAGTTTTGTTTGTCATTGTATTTCTTGTGTGTTCAGTGTACTTGTAGCTAAAAGAACAAATCAATGAGTGAATGAAAAGGTGTTTCTACCCAGCACACCAAGGACTAATGCAACCTTAACCACTTCTGTGCCATCCAGAGTGTGATACATTCGATCCATGTCTGGTTATCCACCCATGATAACTATGAATGTGTGTCTTTCTTGTTCATTGGTGGGTACATGCATTGTTTGGGTTCTTGGGTTTGTAGAGGTGTGAATACATTATTGAGCACATGTATCTCTGGTTTTGTGTAGAAATGAATGTTTGCTTAGAACATGTGGCAATTGTACATATGTGGTGGCATTGGTCTATGATAAGTATGATTATATTCATGCATGTGCACCATAGATTGATATGAGCATGCTGCATGTGACATATATACCCGGTTGTTTATGTAATTGTAAATATCTATACAGGATTCTCTGGGTATATGTGAACTGTAGAGCTGTGTGTGCAACTACGTAGTTTTGTGTATATGTCTGTAACAGTTATTGTGTAAACGTGTGATTGTGTATGAATTAGTATTTGTGACATATTGAGGATGTTTGTAGGGTCAGAAAAGCATTCTGGTCAGATGACATGTGTTGATGTGAAAGTAGAAAAATTGGGCCAGCGCCATGGTTCACTAGGCTAATCCTCCGCCTTGCGGCACCGGCACACCAGGTTCTAGTCCCGGTCGGGGCACCGGATTCTGTCCCAGTTGCCCCTCTTCTAGGCCAGCTCTCTGCTGTGGCCCGGGAAGGCAGTGGAGGATGGCCCAAGTGCTTGGGCCCTGCACCCCATGGGAGACCAGGAGAAGCACCTGGCTCCTGCCATCGGATCAGCGCGGTGCGCCGGCTGCAGCGGCGGCCATTGGAGGGTGATCCAACGGCAAAGGAAGACCTTTCTCTCTGTCTCTCTCTCTCACTGTCCACTCTGCCTGTCAAAAAATAAAAAAACATTAAAAAAAAGAAATTAAAAACCTTACACATTGCTGGTGGGAATGTAAAATGGTGGAATCTCTTTGGAAAATAGTCTGACAGTTCCTCAAATCATTTAACATAGGGTTAATATGTACCTGGTAAGTCACCTCCTGGTATATAGACTGTGAAATACCTAGTATATGTCCAAGAAGAATGGAAATCTATGTCTATACAAAGACTTGTATATGAATGTTTATAGCAGCATTATTAATAGCAAAAGGTAGAAACAAACAAGATGTCTGTCAGCTTATGAATGGATAAAAAATACGGTATGTCCATACTGTGGAATACTATTCAGTCACAAGAAGAATAAAATGTTGATGCATGGGAGAACATGGATGAACCTTCAATACATTATATACATATACATATACATATACATTATACTAAATGAAGAAAATCCAACACAAAACGCTACATGTTGTTTGTTCCATGTATGTGAAATGTCCAGGATAGGTAACTGTAGACATAGAAAGTGGATTAGTGGTTTCCAAGGTGGAGGGGACAGAGGACTTTGGGGGAGATAGTTTCTTTTTGAAGTGATAAAATGTCCTAAAATTGTGGTGATGGCTACACTTACCTGTGTCTATACTGGAAACCATGGAATTGCACCCTTTAGGTAGATAAATTGTATGCCAGGTGAATTATATCTCAATAAAGCTCTTGAAATCATTCCATAATCACCCATCCCAGGTACTCTGGTATTGCATAAAGTGTTCTGAGTTTGCAGTCAGGTGTCATTATCCTGGTTCCTGCAAACAGACTTGAAAAGGAGCTGGTTTTGTGTTAAGCTGCTCCTTCCCTGTGATTGGGAAAAGTAACCCCTTCTGGGCTCAGGACATATGCTAAGGGAGAGCCCTGTTATGCACACAACTAATCCTAGGTTTGTGGAGGCTGCTGAGCCACTGATTAAGCAGGACCAGCCTCATTTAATGCCCCTGACTTTGCAATGTGATGTTTGAATAAAAAGCACTTCCATCCATAAACAGTATTCATCATTTAGGGTGCAGCAAGGTGGCAGAATGAGAAGCCATCCCCCCATCACTCCAGGCTTTATCTTTGACTTCTGGGCCTTCATCTGGGGGAGGAGGGTCCCTTCTCCTCTCTGCAACACTGATCCTAGCCAGAATAGAAGCCTGTGGGCTTGTGATGGAGCCACTGCTAGTCGGGGATGGGGAGGAAGGCCAGGTTCTCAGGTTTCCTTGTGTTGGGGAGGACATCATGCAAACAAACAGGAAGGAGGCAAAAAGGGGGGGGGAGCAGAGGCAGAAAAGGACCCTCAGCATGGGCAGTCATACTGAAAGGAAGAAAGAGGGGTCCAGAATGCCAGCAGGAGAAAGGAGAGAAGAGAGAGAGAGACACAGATCAAGGTAACTCTTACGAGATGACACGTTAGTATGAATAAAAACCACTCAATACAAATGGGCAAAGGCTGACACAAAGGCAGCTATACAGAATGACCTGGAAGCACATGAAAAAAGTTCAATCACTACCAGGGAAAGTGCAAATTGAAACCCCGATGAGATGCTACCACACACCTAGGAGAATGCACCGAGTGTTGGTGGAACTGTGGGGCAACTGGCGTTCTCGCCCGCTTCTGGTGGGGATGCAAAATGATACAGCCACTCTAGGAAACAGGTTGACTATTTCTTACACAAGTAGCACGGAGCTCAGCAATCATTTAGGTGTTTATCTAAGAGAACTGGAAACATATGTCCACACAGTGACTTGCACGTGAATGTTTTTAGCAACTTGATTCATTTTAGGCTTAAGACTGCAAACAACACAAATGCCAGTCTGCTGGCAAATCGATACACTGTGGTGTAACCACAGTGAAATACTCCTCAGTAATATATACAATGATGTGAGTGAAAGTGGAATACTCCACAGTAATGTATGCAATGATATGAGTGAATTTCAGTAATATCATCCACTGTAAAAATAGAACACGAAAGACTACATACCTTGAAATACCATTTCTATGAATTTTCACCCTCCCAGAAAGCCAGAACTATGGTGCCACAAAGCACATTAAGGATTGCCCAGAGCTGGGGCGGGGGTAGGGTTAACTACAGAGAAACACAAGGAAACTTTCTGGAGGTGATGTAAATGTCTTCTTTCTTGATTTCAGCAGCAAGTACACGCTGTATCCATTTGCCAAGTCATTGAATTGCACACTTAAAATGGTCGACCTTTATTGTATGCAATTAAACCTCAATAAACTGTTAAGAAAACAAATGTGACTATTGCACATTACCTAGTTGGCAGGAAACATCCAAGTGGCCTCAGCTCAGACTCTGGAATGGGTCAGTGCAGGGCACGAGGACGGCTCAGCTTAATAATGGGTAGTGAGCAAGGGGCCCTCACGACAGGGGAGCCAGCCAAACAGGGCAGGACCTGCGGCTGGCAGCCTCCGGCCCAGAGACCAACCAGGCAAATGCAAAAGGAATGGATGAATGAATGGCTGGGTGGGGAGAGGGAAAGTGGGTGGGAAAGAGGAGACAGGAAGGTCCAACCCACCAATGGAGACAACCAGATAGACGGCTGGTTTCCCAGGAGGCAAGTCGGCTGCTGTCACTGGGATGGGGGACAGGAGGCCTTACCTTGCTGAGGGGGAGGGCCTGGGCTTAATTGTGACCTCAGGTGCTGAGCCACAGGCGCTTGGTGAGGCTGGAGCTGAGGTCCCTCACCCTCGGATCCTTCCTGGCACAGGGCTCAGGGTCCTGAGATCAGGGAGTGGGTTTGGATGCAAGGGTAGGGTGGAGGTGAGCATTTCTGCTAAACTCTAAACACATTTCTTCCTCCCTATTGAAAGAAATGACTCATGTCAAAGAAGTCTTTATCAGTCACAGAAGAATCCACAGCTGTGTGGCCTCTGGGTGTTTCCAGGTCTTGGGGTGGTAGGTGAGGGGGAAAGGGGTATGGAGCCTGGTACCGACTGCAGAGCTCTGCTGGCCCTGCTGCCTTCTCCACCAGCCCCGTGGTCTGGGAGAGTGCAGCTGCCTCGCAGGCGTCCCCTGTTTCTCAAAATCTGTTAAATGGGGGCAGCGATGGTGTTTCTCTCTCCTGGAGTTGTTGGGAGGATTAAATAAGATAATCTATTTAAATTATTTCGCACAGGGCCTGGCACATGGTAAGTGTTA